TTTTCCCATTGAATTATTGTTTTACATAAGCCGAAGTGTTGATCTTCTGTTAAATGTACTTGATAGCAAAATGACGTCACAATTTCTCCACTTCTAAATGATTGAAGCTGAAAAGGCTTTTTCGAAATATCGATCTATCATCTCATCGTCAATCAAGCATAACAGAGTCGTGTTCTTTCAGGTTAGCTTGACCCTCCACACATCCTTTACATAACAAAAGTTCCGACATGACGTCTTTAAGGTTCAATGCATAGGCCAGACAGAGTAAGTTTTTTTATGATTTTTTATAGTTTTTTTTTTTATCATAGACTTAATAGTCCTGGAGTCGTTCTTTAATTGGCTAAATATCCATCACAAATTACCATGATACGTGACTGATACCTATGTGACAGTGACCTATAATCAAACACGGGATCGTTAATCTAATAATCTTCATCATCTTCTAATAGTACCTTTGCTAATTCGACAACGTTTTATCTCGCCTAAATCATAAGACCAGCCTCTGTCCTCGATGAGGTTGGTGAAGTCTGAGCCATGTACTCTGTATGGATGACATATCGAACAGCTACACATATCATCGTCTTCACGGAGAGAGAATGTTTCTCCTTCTACGTTTACATCACGGCAAACCTTAGAATAGTTAAACGACAAAATTACAGTGCTTTGATAATTTTGTGTTCATGTTCGATTTCTACACAATCGTAAGACGTTCAGAGCATAGATATACTCCACGCATGAGACATGTGACCTTTTCATTTTGTCCGAAATAAACAAGTAGATTGGGAGTCTGATGTATTTGTTGTGACCAGTCTTGGAAAGTCTGTAGTCGATCCTCACATTTAACCATTGACTGATATACTGGACGAATGAGATGTGAAGTGCGTGGGATACAATATATATGTATCAATATCGATATACTTGTCAGAGTGAAGTCTACCGTGACCACCCGACATCATGGCATCACTCCACCCAGGGGACAGCTGGTCGCAGATATTGCCTGCTTCATATTCATTTTTAATGACGTAGTTTTGTCGAAACCTGATATTTACAAACTGAATCTATATTTAAATATGTAAAATAAAACCATTAACACCTCGGCATACCGGAGGAAGAAACTCATTCCGTATAATGTAGTTATGGTGTTTTAACACATCAACCATCCATCCTCCTTATGTCCCGGGAGTTTGCCCACGCTATTAATGGACATCACGTGTTACATGTCGTCGCCATCCCGCTGTACAAGAGACATTCGGTACTCAGGCTTTTCATTATCTATTTCAAAAGTCATGCACGACATTTAACTTTTATCCCGGACCGTTGACTACCAAAACCAAAGTCTTATCAGACGTAGAACAAATGGTGCTATGATGAAGTGTGAACTAACTTTATCCTTGGGTTCCTGAAATATCTTATACCGAAACTTTGCAAACGTCCAGACGGACACAGATACCGGTTGAAACAAGTACAGGAAGTAGGGAAGTGAGGTCTGCCGACATTAATGATGCGAGTGCTACAAACTTCTGATTAATCTGTCTAAAACATTCACCAAAGTGTGACCTGTACATAAATTATCAGTTATACTGAATTTTTCACATATATTGTGAGACCGAAATGTGTCACGTTATATCGTGGTACAGACAAGAACTGAAGAACGCCCATCTTATCAAATGTGACACAACAATGTCATATCAAAGAGAGGTAAAAATCTGAGATACACATGATACGCACAAAAATACCCGTTTTCCAAGCCAAAAACAAGGGAAACTTTCCAAACTGATTTTTAATTACATAAAGAAGAGAGGACCTTAAATTATGATAAAGTTACATCGAAATCAAGGTATACCTTGAAGAGGCCACAAGAAAGGGCAAATGGTAACATAATACCTCACGTTAACGAACGTATTTTAGCTCATATAGTGTTACAATGTATCATCATATCACTGCAGTAAGGCACACCACGACAATCTGGCGCGGTACAGGACAAAGTACTTTTCTTTCACGAATTGTTTTAAAGCGCAGCGTGATCACTCCACAGCGGCCTGTCAAGGTTCATAAAAGTACCTGAACAGTGTATGTCGAGGACAACAAGCTACGGCGACACACTGTATACAACACTACACACGAACTTAGAACAAATATCATGGGATGTAAAGATGTGCTTTACACAGAAAAACAAAGTGGGGTAACTGAGAAAAATACCCCGCTTTATTTAATACCTCAATTCGTGATTGTACTAAGAATCATATTTGTCTGATTTTTTTTTTTCGTGTTACATTTTCACTTTCATCACTTTACTGACCGAAATGTGAACGGCTATCGAAGAGACGACATAATTGTTATGCGTTGTACACGCCCGTTTGAGATGTATATGTGTATATGTGTCATTTATGGTTCAATGGATAGTGTAACCCGAGAAACATAAAAGAAATCATATGAATCTCTTACAGTCTATAAATACACTTACGATCAGATTATGTAAGTAAAAAATACACTTACGATCAGATAATGTAAGTAAAAAATACACTTACGATCAGATAATGTAAGTAAAAAATACAAGGTCATTCAACGAATATGTTGCCGTCCTGTACAGCACTACATTACATAGGTCAAACAGCGTGTGATACTGGGTACAAAGGGGTATAATTTTCGAAAAGAAAATACTTCTATCAGGCAAATATCTAAAGCCTAAAAAAGCAATAAGAGTTGAGCTTTCACAGAAACATAAATTAGTACTTTGATAAATTCTGTATGATATGTGAAATCAAGATAAATGTAAATATCATGCATATATGTATGGTTTTTCTGTCCTTACTTTACCGGTTATGCACTGATTGACAAATCCTGATATGAGGCATGGAATTTATATTATTCCTAATATCGATAAAACTTGTATCCATGTGGAGCACTTAATCTGATCAAATTGATTGTTCCTTCGTAAGAATTTCGTGAAAAGGTTTTTCTTCTTCATTTAAATCCTGTAACAGAAAAGAAAATTTGCTTTTGTTGGCATCTCATTTCGTCAAATCGATGAATTTTGTTTTTTTGTTTTATGTTTTTTTTGTTTTTTGTTTTTGTTGTTTTTGTTTTGTTTTGTTTTTTGTTTTTGTTTTGTTTTTGTTTTTGTATTATTATTAGTTTTTTGTTGTGAAAACTACTAATTCTGAACCCATACATACCATACTATGAACTTTTATAACAAAATAATAACTTGTCGTAGTGTAAGCTTAAAGGAAAGTTTTGTATTTGGTATACTAGAAAGCAACTGATGGAATCTAAGATTGATTTCTGCGGTGTAACCTAATACTTCAGCTAATTAGAATGCCTTACGGTAGCGAGTTCTGGGAGGCTTGTCTCACATCGGCACCGTCTCCGTGTCCATTTCGGACGACGGCAGCTTAATAGATCATACACGGGAACCAAAAGATCAGGATCTACTGGTGGTTGATCTGAAATAAATAAATATATCAAATAATATCAGTATGGAAGATAAATAGACAAAAGTCATCGATGATGATGATGAGGAGGAGGAGGACGACGACGACGACGACGATGCCGACGACGACGACGATGATGATGACGACGACGACGATGATGATGATGACGACGATGATGATGATAATAATAATGATAATGACGACAACGACGATGACGATGATGACGATGATGGTGATGATGATGATAATGATGATGATGATGATGACGACGACGACGACGACGACGACGATAATAATAATGATGATGATGACGACGATGACGACGAATACGACGATGATGATGATGATGATGATAATGACGACGACGATGATGATGACGACGACGACGATGATGATGATGACGACGATGATGATGATAATAATAATGATAATGACGACTACGACGATGATGACGATGATGGTGATGATGATGATAATGATGATGATGATGATGACGACGACGACGACGACGACGACGACGACGACGATAATAATAATGATGATGATGACGATGACGACGAATACGACGATGATGATGATGATAATGACGACGACGATGATGATAATGATGATAATGACGACGACGACTACGATGATGATAATGATGATGATTAATTTCTTTATTCCTCCACACTGATGATTTCCATGCATATGAACAGAAAAAGAAACATATGTAAGGTATATATGTTATTTTAAAACCGACAAAAAAAATATGTAAAAGACATGTAAATATAATGAACAAAAAAGTTACATAGTAATGTCAATAAAGGTGCACAAGAGAAATAGTAATACAATAATGATAATGGTAGATATCCCGACAAATATAAAAATGTATATTGACATGAATAATATTGCGTGATGTCAGTATAGGAACGCAATACATACATATCTGAGCATCATTCATGCAAGTCAAATTACCTCATTACAGAGAACATTACTTTAAATCTTACGTGCATTTACATACCAGTGTCCATGTACATGTTTGAAAATGATTTCTCCTCCATACAATGAGTAAGAGATATATAGAGATGCTAGACCCACTTAAATGTTACAGCTGATGCTCATTCGGAAAAATCAGGCAATCTCTGATAAAGGAGAATGATTTTCGCCAAGGGTGAAAGCAGTAGCGTTGAAAATAAATATATCTATGTATAAGGTTATTCAACTAAGAATCACAACATGAGTATTATCATTTTCATTTTCAGATGTTTCACATAGGTACAATGGTAACGTTACGTTTACATGTTGCTAACGTACACAAACTCCATCATGAATAACAAGACACATTAGAGGTTACAGTATTCCTAGTAGGAAATTCAACAGCCTTTACCTGAAATCACTTGTAATTTGTTATCTTCCATGTCAATATTACGTCACTAATGGCCTACATTGATGACGTCACATTTTTATTTATGTAATACATTTGAATATGCAAATAAAGAGCGCTCATATCTTATAGCTCATATTGTCTCTTAGTTTATTAACATTTTCTATATTTACTTGACTAATATTATTATGTATATCACAAGTATAACTGTCCTTAGAATATTTCATTATATAGTCATCTACCTACCCTTTAGTTTGTTTCACCATTGATCTGAGAGAAATTTGTAAACTATCATTTCAACAACAATTATGGCGTTTGTTAAGTAAATAGTGTAATTGTCGTAAGCACCGGTTTGGCTATAATAAACGACCTACCTCTCAGGCGACTCACGATTGTACCGACAAATACGACGATGAGGACACCCAACGCGCCAAGCCACATGTAGGAGAGGGAATATAGCACATCTAAACCTTGTCTGTAATAAAGAAGCATAAGGAAATTGGGTTTAATGTAAGGTATACTCTTATGCTTCAAACCACAACACGCCGAATGCAATGGGTTCAAGATGTTCAAATCATTAATACAAATGTCTTGTAATTATTACACAATTGATAAAATTGGCGTTTATTGATAGTCTCCGTCATATCATGAATCAACACACGTACAACTTACGAGATAACCTACATAATATGTGATCGGGCAGGTGACCCCATACCTTTTCACATCCATTCCGGGAATCGAACACCGGACGGCTAGCTGAATGGCGAGTGCATTACTACTGCGCCTTCTGACCAACCATAACCTACTTGACACAACGGTGCTATATCAGCAATATACGAGTCTCTCTGATGTATTTTATAAAATATAACGATAAATAATTCTTGTTATGATTATAAATTACTATTGTGATATGTTAAATGCATTTATTGTGCTATTACGAACTCATTATTAACGCTTGCATTGACTTTATATTGTTTATCAATAAACGTTCCATTTATATTGAATATCAGTACATTCTTCCTGATAGTTGAATAAATGGGATAAGGTCTGTAATTACGCAAATTACGCTACGAAATATATTGAAATAAACAAGTTTTCGGAATCCTTGAAATCATGAAATGACAGATGTCATTAAGTACATTTTCCTTTCTATTGATTACAAAACGTTATATTTTACAAGTACAAACAACTGCTGTAAACCCCGCTAATTAGTAGCCAGTATATTGATTCGTTATCTTCAACGAACTCACGAGACAGACACGGCGGTATTTTCGATGCAGCAATAAATGAATACTTCGGTCAGCTGGTATAATAATGATATTAATAAAAAGAGACAGCAAAATCAACATGTCCTGCTTTTCGTTTAGAGATATGATTAAACTGCATCACACTGAAGGGTCTGAATTCTTGCAACCTTGGAGAAGTCTAAGTGAAATCAAATTGGTCGAAATAATTGTTAAAAACAAGCTAGGAAATGTGTGTAAAGTGTTTACTCAGAACCGTACCAATATTCGATTGAATTGAAGATTGACATGCCGGTTACGGCAAACTTCGGTGATTAAATGCCCACTAGCAGTGTTGATGTTTACAAGAACTCTCAAAATCGTACTTAAACTGTAATTGGCAGTATCGTTATAATTCGCTTAAGATTACTACTCACGGTAGACTTTCAGTTTCCACAGAAGACGCTGTGATGTTCGTTAGGTACAAAGAGCTACTAATGCTGTCAAAATTAGTGCTGTTCAGTTGGATGGAGATATTGGCAGATGGGCAATTATACATCGGAGCAGGTTCCAGTTTAGGATGAACTCGCACACCCGTAGAAACGAATTTTCCTACGGAGATCCATCCAACGAAAAGTACACTAGACAGTCCTCCTACTATCGCTCCCTACATTGTGCCAGGGAAAAAAAATATATCACTTATTGTTTTGAGAAATTTGTTTTTGCATTGATCTGTTTCAAGCAAATCATTGATTCGTAGAGCTAATCGAGATTACATTGTCACTTGGACATCTGACCTTAAATTATCCTGTAATTAAAATATAGAATAGAATATTATCACTTTCCTACACACTTTCACATCAAATGCTACACTTACTTATCTTAATCAGTGTATAGTAGATCATAACAGACTATAGGTAGAAAGTAGTATGACCACGTAAAACTAAACAAATATACATGAAGATTATGTAATGAAACCTTCATTTATCTCAAAATCAGTGCATATGTCATATCCCTATAATATATATTTTGTATTTTAGTATCTTTACTATTGAGAAATACTCCGGTCATCGCCCCCGTTACGCTTGATGACATGATATTAAAAATCTGAAAAAAAAGTCACGTACAATTAAATTTAGCCCCTTTCACACAATGGCTATTTTAACACCTCTTTGTATTGTTGTCATTACAATGATCCTGTTTACAAAAGCACAGTAGGTAGTCGTTGACTTCAGCGTACATCACTTTTATGAACAGCGAGAGGTTTTTATCCCGTTACGCTTGATGACATGATATTAAAAATTCTTAAAAAAAATCACTAATCTCGTACAATTAAATTATATAAGATAGCACGTGTAATCCTTTCACACATATGGTATTTAAATTAAGACTATTATTATATATATCTTTTATGTATATGTTGTATATAAATACATATATATTGAGACTTTATGTATATAAATTGAGATTTTATGTATATGTTGTATATAAATTGAAGTATACAGTATATATATTGAGATATGTATACGTTGTATATATATTGAGATTTATGTATACATATATAATTTGGGTGTATACTTTTATGATATATATTGAGATTTATGTATACGTTGTATATATATTGAGAGTATACGTTTATATATATTGAGACTTTATGTATACGTTGTATATATATTGAGATTTTAGTATTTATGTACGTTGTATATAAATTGAGATTTTATATACTTGTATATATATTGAGATTTTATGCTATGTTGTATATAAATTGAGATTTTATATACGTTGTATATATATTGAGATTTATGTATACGTTGTATATATATTGAGATTTATGTATACGTTGTATATATATCGAGAATTATGTATACGTTGTATATATATTGAGATTTTATGTATATGTTGTATATATATTGAGATTTATGTATACGTTGTATATATCATTGAGATTTATGTATACTTTATGTTGTATATATATTGAGATTTTATGTATACGTTGTATATAAATTGAGATTTTATATACGTTGTATATATATTGAGATTTTATGTATATGTTGTATATAAATTGAGATTTTATATACGTTGTATATATATTGAGATTTATGTATACGTTGTATATATATTGAGATTTATGTATACGTTGTAAATATATTGAGATTTATGTATAGGTTGTATATATATTGAGATTTTATGTATATGTTGTATATATATTGAGATTTATGTATACGTTGTATATAAATTGAGATTTTATGTATATGTTGTATATAAATTGAGATTTTATATACGTTGTATATATTGAGATTTTATGTATATGTTGTATATAAATTGAGATTTTATATACGTTGTATATATATTGAGATTTTATATACGTTGTATATATATTGAGATTTATGTATACGTTGTATATATATTGAGATTTTATATATATATATATTGAGATTTATGTATACGTTGTATATATATATGTATATGTTGTATATATATTGATATTTATGTATACGTTGTATATATATTGAGAATTATGTATATGTTGTATATATATTGAGATTTATGTATACGTTGTATATATATTGTTTATGTATACGTTGTATATATATTGAATTTTATGTATATGTTGTATATATATTGAGATTTTATGTATACGTTGTATATGAATTTTTTATATACGTTGTATATATATTGAGATTTTATGTATATGTTGTATATATATTTTATATACGATATATATTGAGATTTTATGTATATGTTGTATATAAATTGAGATTTTATATACGTTGTATATATATTGAGATTTATGTATACGTTGTATATATATTGAGATCTTATATATATGCTGCATATTGAATGAGGTTATATATATATTTCGTATATCAATGGAGACTATCTGTATATGTTGTATAGTCAAATTCACGTCATTAAACAATAACAAGTAGGATATTTTTACACAGAAGTTAGCAGCTAAGGAATATGCTTTCAAGTATAATCATATAATCAATCCCGGTTCGCAAATGTAACAATTAGTTTCAAAATGTCCATATACAAGGACGTTTTTGATGTAGATAAGATAAGCATAACGAGCATAGTGAGTATTGCTAAATCAATACATGTCCCCTTCCGGCCCTCACAAGCTTGTGCGCTGCAATAAGCTATAAAATTGATGCTGCTTTGTGATAATTTGGGGAAAAAGGAAAAGTATATGTTTAGTTTGTAACTGTTATAGTTTTTTGTATGTGCGAGGTGTGATCTAAATCATATAAGGAATGAAGCTGCTAGAGCTCAGATAATGATTTTCTAAAGATAGCAATGTGACCTTGACCTAACAGCTTTGAATCTCAAACTCAATCATTTTAGCCCTTTAAACGTGTTCGAAGTTTTATGAAAATCACTCAATGATTAAAGCCGCTAGAACTTACAGTTGATCTTGACCCAACAATTCTTAATTTCGGAATTTGATATAACGGTTCTTTTGTTGTTAAGAGTATTTTGACCAAAATCCCACAAAAAAATTCAGATTTTCCTAATATGTTAAAAGTGACCTTTATCAAACAACTCTGCAAACTGAAACTTAAACTAATGTTAGTTTGGTTCTTAATAACTGTGTGTGAAGTTTGAATGATACTACAAGAGATGAAGCTGGTAGAGAGCAATTATCCAACAATGGGTGACCTTGACCCAACAACGAGGAACTTAATTTTGACGACGATAATTCGAAGTGTGACTTTGCCGGCTCATTGAATAAAGCCGCTACAGCGCTGAGATGTTTTCTTAAACAGTATTACATGGCATGCACATACAAAAAGCAACCATTAAACTGAACCTTGGTGGGAATCCCTCAAATCCTGATGCCGTTAACTCGCTGATAACAAACCTGAAATTGTCCTCGATAATATGATTCTAAATGAGAACGCGTGGTGTGATGATCATTCAAGGGATAGAGAACTGACAATGATTTTCTAAGAGAAAATAGTTTCGGTGACCTTGAGCCTCGAATTCTAGAACTCAATCGTGTTGGAGATAATGAGATGCTATATAAGAGAGAAATGTGATGAGAATCCCGCAAGGAATGAATTCGCTAAATATAAACGAAAGTTTTTTTTTTTCTAAAAATAGTAATATTGACTTTCATCTTCACCAATTAACCCTGAAATTAAAACTAAAAGCTGTATAAGGGCTGAGTAAGTGTGGGAAGATTAATGAGAATCCTTCAAAGAACGAAGCAGCATTAGCACTGACAACGGGTTTCCAAAGATTATAACAGTGACCTTTACCTCTACCAAACAACCCTAAAACTGGAACTTGTCTAAGACAAGCTCGCTTAAAAAGTGTGTATGTTTTATGAAAAGCCTCAAGGAATGGAACAATTCAAACTTTGTCAAGTAAATGCTATCGTATATGACGTGTTTCTGAATTTGTACGCTTATTGCAGAATCTAAAATGTGTGTAGGAACAGCTATGTGTAGTTGGCTTCATTTATATTGCTTACTGTTTAATCAATAACTAGGAAAAATCAAGGTTAGCCACTCAATGTTTTTGAGTTGAGTGCATGTAGTGAATGTAATTCTGCATTCCTCTTAGTGATAGTACGGAACTGAAGTATAATGCCGAAGGCCTCTATCCGGACATCTCATCGGTCACATTATACTGACCAGGTAACAGAGCTCAAAGACTTATTCACAGCGGCGAACGCTCACCGTAAGGCTAAAATTGAGATATTGTCAAGGAGATATCAGGAAGAAGAGGGGTCTCTAGAAAAGAGTGCAATTATAAAGATCCATTAATTGTTCCATTCCTACGATCATTCAATGGGGTGGTAGGTATAATACTTACACCCTACCTGCAAACCTGCAAAGATTCATGGACAGAAACGTATTCTAGGCTGTGCTGTTACAACACACGTTCTAAGATAAAACGTAAGCTCAACATCGAGCTTAATTAGAAACTTTATAATTGATTTTATGTACAAACCGTCAAGTTGAACTTTACATTAAAATAAAACCAATGTACTGAAACGATTTTGTTTACAAGTCAGAAAATCATGAGTTCTTAACATATTTTAATATCAAACTATGAATTAAACTGTGTCGTACAGCTGGTTTTTCCTTGAGGATTATTCAGTAATGCTAAAGAGCTTTTAGAAACAAAGGCGGCGATTGAGGAGAATCCAACGCGATCGCAAGAAATATTCAAAATTCAGATGGAGGTCCATTAGCTTCATTATTTCATAATCTTTTAAACTCTGACAGCTTTGCTGTAACTGGTATATTAACACATATAATTCAAAACAGGCATGAGCGGATCAGGACACTTACTCGTGTTATCGGACCCTTTAGTCCTGAAACAACAAAGGCGACCAAACAGCCAAGAACACCGAATACAAACACTGAAAAAAGCACCAAAATATAAACAAATGTATAAATTAATAATATATGAGAATGAGGATTATCAAATTCTTTAAATGTCAATGAAATATGATATTGTGATTGAGCAAAGATACCCCGGCATTGGCAATTTTATAGGCAACTATCGACGTTAGTCAAATAGAAATAAAATAGTCATTGAAAAAGCAAAATATCGGATAAAAGAGAATAAAACATTTCTCAGTTAGATCACTCTCACAACCATAAAGCATCCACATAATTTTCATTACCCTGCATCTTTTGAAACTGTATTATGAGTTTATCCGTCAGTTGACGACTTCAAGCCGTTAAATCGTGATGATTGGAGCAGACCCATATGAAATCATCTGCGACATGTTAACACCATACTTTGGGGAAGAAGGTGTGTTACTATCAAGAAATGGACAATTCACAATAAGGAATGGAAAGTGTTACTATCAAGAAATGGACAATTCACAATAAGGAATGGAAATCACCATGCCTATCATACAGCATGGTAGAAAGCAGTCCACAATGGTTTCATTACAAGAAAAGATCGAGATAAGCGGCTGATGTTGAAAGTCTGTCGAGCCATCGATTTCCAATCTTGGTGGGTATGTAAGATGGATGTAGTCAGTAGATTTCTTGTTATCTAAATGCAAGTCGTCACTACATCGGAACGTGTAATTAAACGACTTTGGTATGTCCTTGTGACCTGTTTTGATATGGTCTTTGATAAATGATAAATTCAGCCTCAAATGCATACACTAACAAATGGACCAACAGAGCCACTGTTAGTTCCCATTGATATGTCGATGGTCTTTTGGAAGATCTTACGACCAAACTCAACGAAGATATTATCAACCAGAAAGTCGATCATTTCTATGATTTCGTCGACCGTATATTTCTTCTATATTTATATTTGAACGTATTATTCGTACCACTCAAAGCTTTCACAACAAGAGAACAAATGCATTCCTTCAGCTTATAATGGGGTATGGTGGTGTAGAGATGGAAAAATTAAATGTTTGTTTATTCTACAAAAAAGTGTTTTTAAACGAGGGTGTTCAATATTAGTCAAACTTTCTTTGGAGTCCTTTCAAATTTATATAGTATAAATTCCATTTCTTGAGCAAACAGTATGTCAATAGGACTGTAACAAAGACTATGATATGAATGGTAGGTAGTAGTATTGACAAAAGTTTAACTGAACAGCTAGACGAGCAGCAAGGTTGAATGGCTAGAGGAGCAGCAATAAAACGTTGTTGATATAGATTTTTGTGAAGGTTAGGAATCCAATATAACCGGAAGAGGTCCTTATCCTCATTAGGCAATTTAAGGTATTGTAATACCGAGGCATAATTAGAATGATACATCCTAACAATATGAACTCGGGATGTAAAACAAAGCTTCCAACACACAGATTAGTATCATGATGTTGACCTTAATGTAGAAAAACATATTTCGCCAAAGTGATCATGATGTCGAACAGACTTCCTGTCCATTGTTCGAATCCACATTCATATTTCCAAGAAGTGTTTTGTAAACTAGTATTATGACGAAAACTGAACATAACAAATCATTAAGATATCACAGTTCTGTTCAGTAAGAGTTTTATTTCCATATACAAAAGTTAGTAACTTGTAAACAAAGAGAACAAACATTCCTACTTGAGAGTTGAGTGATGATGATCCCCCTCCTCTCAGACATCGGTTTGGTGTGAGGTTTAACAATATCCTCCCAAAATACTGCTGACAGACTGCTCAACATGGACGACATGGAACTGAAAAGTAGTGAAAGTAAACACCAGGTATATTTGTATATGTAAGTTAACGTTATACATTTGTATTAGCTGTTTGGATATTCGGTAAAAGTGTATGTCTTTGATCGAAACATTTATAATAGAAGATAAATAATTGTGTTATATAGTATGCATTCTTGAACATAGCAAAATAGAGTCAATTACAGAATTGTCTTGTTCAGAGGGTACACACATGTTATAATATTGCGTACACTGTATTACACATGTATAAAAACTTATTGTGACGTCACTTCGATTCATCAAATGACGTCACACATTCAAATGACAATGTAGTGTAACAATGGAGACCATATATGTAGAAATGTCCGTTTCTACAAATTTGCATGAACAATAAAAAAGTGATACAAACTTTCTTCGTTTCAATGTGATATATAAAACGCGCCACGATTTTCCCGCCAAATGCTAGATTCTAAGATTCGTTTCATAAATTCACGAGCCAAATGAGAATTCGTGTAAACTATGTTATCATACGAATAACTTTACATGTTTCTGTAGTATGAAATAACTTTTAAACATGGTGTACATGGAAAGTTTAGATGCCGAATTATTTCAGATATATGTAGAATGACCTTAGGGAGGCACTAAACAAGGCGGCGAAGAAAAGTCCCGGCATGCAAGGCGTGTCATGGAATAAATCTACAACCATAGCTGGTATCAGCTGAAATATAATACATTTATTACACTCTATCAGAAGAATGCGTTGAAATACACAAAGAAAATAAATCAGCAGAATACATAATATATTTTAGATACAATTTCTTTGTCAAGTGCATGTCATTTAAGGATAAATATTGCGCCTAATATTGTGCCTAATTCACAAAAATACTTTCTTGAATGTGTTATCGTTTTTTTTTTTTTTTTTTTTTTGTTAATCACCATTTAATATATTTATATTTATATGTATCAACCTGATTCTGATTATCCAATTGTTTCGATTGTAGTGGGTCACAACCTTGACTGTGGTAGTAGCCGAACATAACAGCTCCCTCCAGCACACCCAACCAGGACATCGACATAATGGAAAAGGCGGTGACAAGATACATACTGAAATAAATCTTATTCTTTTTTCAAATGTGATTTCCTATGATAGAGTTTGTTTGTCATTTGCAATATTCCTGTCATATCTCCGTTGATTGTCGATTTGAAAATGTTTAATCATATCATTGGTGAAAAGTTCCTGTTCATCTTGAATACATTGTTAAGTAACACGTCATTGTGAATAAGTGATTATCGCGTCCTAGCCAGAAACAGCTGTATGGTGCATTCAAATTTATTGTTTGTCTCTACAGTATTTTATTTCAGTTTGTTTTTAATGGTGTACAATGTGTACAACTGCGACAATAATACTGCCGTACTTCAGGTTTAAAAGTTTCTGTAGCAATAAAAAAAGCTGTTGAAATAGTCATTTTTGCATTTCTCGATTTTATGGCAATGCTGAAACACGTATATAAGTACTCACTTAGATGTTGATTGCAAACTGGGTGTAGCTTTGATCCGCAGAAATGTGGTTTGCATAAAAACAGTAGAAAAGCCTCTAATTGAACTTCCAATAAGAAGACTCCAAAACGACTGTCTTATTGTTGGGTCAGGATCGAACCTATAATATAAGACTAATGCATTCAACATTTTACGGCTGTTCATGATACCATAATAATACTTGTGAAAACAGACGTTTCAGAGATATTTTGTATAAACGTAACCTACATGCCAATTATGCCCTTAGATATTTGTGTTCATTTCCACAAATCCAAATTCGTGACAGGACAACTATCTTACAGTTTTAATTTGGTCAAAAATGCCCTTAGCAAATTGTGTTAAAATGTGCGTGCTGTTCACTTGCTTGTCTTTTCTACAATCTTAAAGCTCATGTTTATTCAATGATATTCTGACAGATAACACCTGACTTCGAACGTTTAGATTGAACGTTTTCTGCATTTGCATGTCGAATGTACATAACAAATCGATACAATGTAATATATAAAATTTGATGGTATCATTAGGTAAACACTGTCGTGAATATCTTACAGACCATGTGCTATTAGTGCGCGTTTAAAATCTAAAAACATCTATAAATGTAACAAAACATTTTTTTACAAGCAATACAGTTCAACAAATCCGAATTCGTGATCTGACGACTATCTCACAGTTTTAATTTGGTCACAAAATGTGTTGCCCCGAAAGTATAATCAGAATGACGAAAATGTAACAAGTAGAACACCTAAGAACAAAAATACACCCAGATATGTGAACTTTTCACTATCTATCCACAACATTTCGAAACACAATTTGTTCTGCTGCTTCTTGTATCATCTGATATTATCAAAGTCCGGTTTAATAAGAGGTACAATGTATGGTTTGTCTTATTATTGTGAACAATAAAACAGGAAATATGGCTTACTCGAACAAGTTGACTCTGCCCGTATCGTATACAGCACTCCATGTAGCAGTCACTCCTCCCGCCTCTATTGTACCCTACGATGAATGACATCAATTATATATATCTGATGATGTAAACCCTATTAGAAACAACATCACAATATTACACAAGCTTGTGATAAATGGTTGTTAGAATGCACTTTATAAAATATGTTGGTAAAATGGCCATTGTGCACGTTATCGTTTCTTTCAAGATATCTTCTAAACCAATTATTTACATTTGTATTTGGTCATATTTTAAGCAGTAGTAAGTCATGGTTGTAGCATTATTCCAATGTGTAAACCAGAAGTAGAATTGAAACAATCTGTAACATCTATTTATGAGTTGTTTTCACGGAGCTGAGTGTACTGTTC